CTGCCATCTTTCTTTTCAATAAGCCAGTTTGTACCTCCAGCTGCAGCTTGCAGAATTCTCAAGGGCTACAGGAAGAAGACAGAGGGGGCCCACTCAAACCTACAGATACCCTGAGACTTGAGCGGAAAGCACACAGAGATGGATCGTACTGTGGAAAACTCCGTACCCCAGACTGTCGATGCAAGAACTGGGAGCCTGACATCTTGACATTTTCAACTACTTAACTAAAAATGACATCCTTTGAGAAAAACGTGTCTCTTGGAATTTCAATATTTGCAATGGGGGAAATGAGAAACATTCCCTCTTAGGGAAACCCAAGGATGTGTCAATACCAGGAAAGCGGAGAAGTGGGGTTAGTTCTTTGCCAAAAAGTTTGACAATCGGCTGGGGTTATACTCTTTCAGCCACATCATATCTAGCAAAGATGGCTGGCCAAAAGGTGTCCCTCCACGGGGAGGTAGATCTTGACAGAAAGTAGCTTCCTGAGGAGAACAAGGGTTTGGGACTAGCAGGAGTAAGAAGGTGGGTTTGGTTGTGGTTACATGCTGGTGTGGGGATTTGTATATTCTGGCAGAAGGGACCAGATGAGGCTGGCTAGCCACAGGACTTCCTGGAAGTTCCCCCAGGGGAGAAGGGGTGATTGCAGGATAAGCTGGGCAGCGTAGTCCAGTCTATAGATGTCTCCTGGCCAGTAAAAGGCAGGTGCTGTGGGTACAGGAAGGTCCGTGTGGTAGCTTGAACGAAATTGACCCCCATAATCTTACTACTTCCCAGCGTCACAGTTGACTTCCTGTTGCCATGGTGATAATGGACTAAACCTCTGAAACTGTAAGTGAGCCTCACCAATGAAATGTCTTACTTTATAAGAGTTACCATGGCCATGATGGCTCTTGAGAGCAGTAGAAACTCTTGACTAAAACAGAAAGCCCAAAGTGCGGTCAGCACGAGCATTTAACCATGACTTTGAGCCCAGAGTCAGTGCCTCAGAGGCTGTCAGAACTGAGACCAAATCAAGGGCTCCAAAGAGAAGTTGTTGTGTTGTTCAATGTCGCCTGTACCTGGCTGGAAGGAGGAGAACCCTGTGGAGTGGGTGGGAGGGATGTGTTCTGAAGAGAGCTCGGGCTTTGCAGTCAGACTTCTCACGTGACCTTGGGTAGATTCCTTAACCCTTCAAAGCACTGAGGGCTTCATCTACCGTGAGAGAACATAGAGATGACATAGTGAGACGTTAGGGGACACGTGAAGCACTGAACCTGGAAACTGCAGGATGCCACAGGAATTCAGAAGACATTTCTCTTCGTCCTGCAGAAGCTGTGCCTCGAAGCCCTTTAAATGCCTAGAATCACACTGCCCAATATGCCCATCTGAACTAGCCACAAGTGGGACTCGGGTCCTTTAAAAGTGGTCAGTCCAAGATGAGATTGAAAGTACAAACAAAATATACACACCAGATTGTGTGTGTGTGTGTGTGTGTGTGTGTGTAGTATCTTCCCTAATTTTATAGTGACTGCTTATTGAAAGAGCATTTTAGATATACAGATTTGAATAAGGCATCTTAGTAATATTAATTTTACCTGTTCATACTTTGTTTACTGTGGCTACAAGAAAATCCAAAATTATAGCAGACCTCCTATTTTGTTCTGTTGGGTGGCCCTGCTCTAGACAGTGCATGAAGACAGGCTCAGAGGCTGTGTGCTTGGGACACATTGGCCTTTTCACCTTGCATTTGGTTACCAGCAAGGCATCAGAAACGTGTGTATATGTATATGTGTCTGTGTGAGTGTCTGCCACCATTTTGTGGGTGTTCACGGAGGCCAGAAAAAAAGTGTTGGATTTCCCCGGAACTGGAGTTGTAAGTGGTTGTGAGCTGCCTGCTATGGGTGCTGGGAACCAAACTTGGATCCTCTTCAAGAACAGCAAATACTCTTAATTGCTAAGTCACCCCTCCAGCCCCCACTCCTTATTTTAAAGCTGGGTCTCACGTAGCTCAGACTGGCTTACAATTCACTGTGTAGTCAAGGTTCACCTGAACTCCTGGCCACCTTGCCTCTACTATTAGTGCTAATGAATATAGGCAAGCTTTTGATAAATAGTGTTATCTGCTGCTCAGTCAAAATGCTGGGAAGGCACGTATGTTCCCATGGCCCTGTAAGGCAGCAACCACAACCCTGGACATAAAAAAGGCTGGGCCAGGCTGGTAGATTTGCTTCATCATGGCCAGAAGAGGCTAGAGAGACACTAGGGAAGGTTGAGGACAGACCTCTCCCATCTTGGTTGTCACAGGGGGACAGGCCCTCTCTGCACGTCAGAAGATGCTCGCACCTTGTACACGAACTTGGCAGGAAGCAAACTCTCGTCAGGCACTCACAAATGCAGGTGCCAGGGGAAAACGGCACTTCAGAGTCATCTTCAGGAAACCAAGAGCTTCCAGAGAAATGAGGAGCAGACATCCACAGATACGAGAAGATTCTTTTTCCTCCCCTCCCAGGCAATGCGGTGTGACTGCTTTTTAAAAGTGTGCATTTTACCTGACCTTTTTTAAGAGGAGAAGATGGACACTTACATTCTGACCCTGGGCGCGTTGCTTCCCCGTCCAAGTCAGAAACACGAGGACACAAAAGCAGTTACATAGCATGCTACCATGGCCCTGAGCTGCTGACCAGGAGAGACAGCGGGTTGTCCAAAGGCGAGAAAGAAGGTGGTCTTTGGGACCACTTCCTCTTCGGATTACTCTAACAGGATGGGTAGAACGTGTGCAGTGGGAAATTGAAGCAGGAAAGTAGGAGATAAGGAAAGAAGAGGGGTTTCCTTTGGGGGGGTTGTTTTGTTTTGAAGTAGGGTCTTGTATAGCCCAGACTGGCCTCAAACTTATCATGTAGCAAAGGATGACCTCAAACTTGGGATTCTCCTGCATCCACCTTCCAAGTCCTGGATTATAGGCATGTACCCCCCACAGCCAGTTCACACGGTGCTGAGGGTCAAACCCAGGGCCATGTGCATGCTAGGCAGGCACTCTGCCAGATGACCTATACCCTGGCCCTAGAAATGTCCTTCCAATGGGTTAGTATGACAGAAAAGGGACATTCCCTGGAGACTAGACTAGTGTGGAAAATGGTTTGGGGTTTCTGGAGACAATAGTCTGGGGTTCGGTTGACTTTATCAGCACTGGAAAATGATTTGGGGAGAGGCAGCAGGCTGAGAAGGGAACAGCAATAGGAGGGCTGAGAAGGGAAAGGGAGGGGAGAAAAGGCAAAGGAAGGAGGGAAGGAGGATGCAGGTGTGGAATGGGAGGCTCCCTGGCAGGAGCCACAGGGTCATCTGCAGAGACAGTGCCATCTCTGTGTGTTGTGTTCTTGGATGGGACTCTGAGTTCATCAGACACTGAAGCATGCTCTCACCTGCAGGCTCTGCAGGTTGTATGCCTGGCACGTAGAAACAGGGAGTGCAGGCTAGACCGAATGGTGAGGTTAGGAAGACAGGAAGGAGGGAGAGGTAGTACGCAGGCTCCGAGGAGAGAGCTGGAAGGCAGGAGACAGAGCCCAGACCTGGCAGAGGCAGGCTGTCACTCTCTAAAGCAGCTCTTCTTCAGGTGTGTGGGAGGGGAGGCGGGGTGGGTTCATGCCCAGATGGACATGAGCCAAGACCCCCTTCTGCTCCTACTCCATTGTTTCCTTGGACAAATACTCCGCAGGGAGCCATGAGAAGGCACCCCTCATTCCACTGTGAGCACCCTGAACATCATCTTAAGGAACAGGCAAGGCACTGACTCTGTGCCCAGAACCGCCCTGGTTGCGGGGAAGACAGGATCGTGGAGTAGAGAAACCTCCCCAGGAGGCAAGCAGCCTTGGCCTCTGCTCTGGCTTAGGTAAGCCTCGTGCTCTGGAGAGAGGGAGGACAGTTTAAGCATGGGTTGATTACAGATCCCTCCTGAGCTCTCTGGAAGAATGTTTTAAAGAAGTTCAGCTTCCGCCGGAAGCTTCTTACATGTTCCCGCTGTGACATGAGAGGGTCGGGATTGACCCAGAGGTCGTGCTTCACTCAGGTGGTCACCTAGAGTTGGGAAGACCTACTTCACCTTTGGAAGCCTTCTAGGACCTTCCAAGGGCTTTGCCAGGAGGGACACTGAGGTCCAAAGAGAGAATGGGTCTTTCCCAGGTCATTCAGTGACCTATTCTCATGCCTCCAGAAACCAGACTTGGGATCCAAAGTGCCCCCCAATGCCTCATCTCCTTCATATAAGAGTTCTTTTGATCAGCACAGATCATTGTTCCCAGGAGAAGAGGAGGTGCCCTCAAGGTACATCCCTTCTGCCCCACATTACAAACCCTCTCTCAGGCCCACCTGAAGCTTGGGATCAACTCTCTAACTTAGTTTGTTTTGCTGGGTGTGGGTGTGGTGTCTGGGAACGAAAGGAAACTGGGTCATTCACACATCCCAGAGCAGGCTTTGGGCTGGCCAGGGTTTATGGGGTCTGTGGGCAGGGGCTATGGGGTCTCTGTGCAGGGGTTATGGGGTCTCTAGACAGAGGTTATGGGATCTCTGGGCAGGGGTTATGGGGTCTCTGGGCAGGAGTTATGGGGTCTCTGGGCAGGGGCTATAGGGTCTCTGGGCAAGGTCTATGCGGCTCTGTGCAGGGACTATGGGGCTCTGTGCAGGGGTTATGGGGTCTCTGGACAGGGGTTATGGGATCTCTGGGCAGGGATTATGGGGTCTCTGGGCAGGGATTATAGGGTCTCTGGACAGGGGTTATGGAGTCTCTGGGCAGGGATTATGGGGTCTCTGGCCAGGGGTTATGAGGTCTCTGGCCAGGGGTTAGGGGGTCTCTGGGAAGGGATTATAGGGTCTTGAGGCAGGGTCTATGGGGTCTCTGCGCTGAGTTTCCACAGAATACCCAGAATCTTGCTGACTCCCACCCACCCTTGCCTCATCCCACCAGGCTTCTAGGAACACACTTTCACACGTAGAGCACACTCTCGATTTTCCAGAAGAATGAAGAGGAGTCTGGGAAATGGAAAAATAAATTAAGAAATCAAAACAACACTGGATCCATAAGCAATCCGAAGCCGCTTGCTTGTCGCTACATCTGTGAGTAGAAAGGCAGTCTGCTGCCTCTCCAAACACTCAGGGCTCAGTCTGACACTTGAGCGAGTCCCATTCCCTGAGCACACCCCGCTGGGTGGTGGGACAGGCATGGGAAGGTGACATGGGGAGAGAGGTGTAGCTGGGCAGAAGGACATGAGGCTGTTGACAGGGAGACAAGACTGTCCCTGGATGTAAACATCACCATGGAAACTCCACAAACACTTGCCAGTGCTGACTCTGTCCCCTTGCTCTCCCACCGAGAGTGGGAGGAAGGGTGCGCCCACCCCAGCTACACAGTACTTTCCATTACCCACTCTGAGCTGCCAAATGTCCCCCGGGCTCCCACCAGGTCACTCTCCTCAAAGGGCAAGAGCATGCCGTTGACAGACAGGCTGCGCTTCGTCCAGATGTTTGAGACCCGCCTAGGGGGGCTATAGCCACCAGGAGCAGCTGCAGCTGCAGCTGCGAAGTCTCCCATGTCAAAAGAGTGGCTTCTTTTGGCCTTGCCCTCCAGGGGCAAAGGGAGAAGACTCCTGGCACGGGTGGCCGGGGGCCCCAGCAGTGGCTCTCGGTCTGAGTGGTGGCCCCTGGCTGATGTCCCTGCCCCTCTGCCTGCTGGAGTCCTGGAGTCTAGAAGTTCTTCTTTCCTTTGACTCTTGAGGTCCAGGGAGGCAAAGGCTCCCATTAAGCGGTCAAGGCTGGGCTTGGGGCGAGGAGCAGGGGGTGGGAGCCTCCAGGGACCCCGGCTCAGGCCTGCAGCTTCCCCGCTGCCCAGAGAGCTGGAGGAAGAAGAGTCACAGGCCCTGGCCAGGCTTGTGCTGAAGTCCATCAACTCATTCCGCACCACAACCTTGGGTGGTGCCTGAGGAAGCTGCCCAACAGGGATCCCACCCAGAGGTGGAGGCTGGGCCCCATTGGTCTGCGAGTACACATTGCTGACAGTGGCTGCTGCCATCTTGCCTGGGGTGTCGTGGTTGCAGACTTTATACCGGACCATGAGGATGACGATGAAGACCAGCAGTGTGGTCACAATGATACCCCCGATGATCAGAATCATGGTGCCCCCCAGGACCTGACTGTGCATAGACTGGCATTGTGGGTAGTCAGCCTTGGTGAAGAACTGGGCGCAGCCCACAATGTTGGTGGCCGTGAGCGTCGTGGCCGTGTCGTCCCACATGGCTAGCACACACAAGTCGTAGCCCGTCCCGGACACCAGGTTGTTGACCACGAAGGCCTTGTTGGAGGCTGGGATCATCCTGGGGAGGGAGGCAGACACAGAGAGTAAGAAAGGGTGGGGTGATGGGGAGCAGCCACAGAGACACATGCAGGCCCACTGAGAGGATGGCAGAGACCGGGGAAGGTGGAAATGGTGGATAAACGGTGACCAGAAGGGAGGGAGGAAGGAGGCAGGAAGGGGCAAGAATTAGGGGTGTGGCATAGAAAATGGTAAAACCATGACAGACATGATCTGGAAGATGCAGGGGACAGTTGGGGTGAAAGCAAAGACGAGAGAGAAATGTTTGGGATGGAGTGTCAGAGAAAAGGAAGGAGACAGAGAACATTCCTCCAGGTCTGACTAAGTAAGTGCCCAAAAGTAAGGCAATGAATTCAAAGGTGAAGAAAATAAAATGATAGTTGAATGTATGGGTGAGGAAAGGCATCTAGACATGGGACAGAGGTGGAGGCCAGGGGGTGGGCAACAGAGAAGGGCAAAGGCACCTGGGAGGGACAAGGAAGGCTCAGTAATTAGTGGGGTGATTGCCCCTCCCCCACGTGTTGCTAACATCCCTCCACCCATCCCCTAACACTAGAGGTCCTCAGGGGTCCTGGAGGCCTCTCTGGGCCTTTGCTTTGGGAAGGAGTAGTTCCTGTTGCAGGCTGCTGGTGTGAACAGGAGAGAGCAGGTGACAGAGACTGAACACGCTGCTCAGAGGGGTAGGCATTGACCCACTGAAGCCCAGGAGGTCACCCTGACTCCCACAGAGCTGTCACATTCTGTCAGCAAACTGGCTCATCCGAGAGACCTGTAGCAGAGTTCCTAGGCTAGGAAGGCCTTGCCTGGTCCCTCCATCTTTGAGAAAGGATTGCTATGAATCAATGTCCCCACGTGGGGCCGTGCCCATGGTAGCCTGAGTTGTCCTGGGGAAACCTTCTGGAATCTTGGAAACAGGTGATTGCCAAGACCTTTGTCATGGCATCCTGTAACATGAGGGGGCCTGCTTGTTTGGATTTCTATGCTGCCCATCCCCCCGCAGCTGTTTAGTCCCAGAGAAAAATCACACACAGATCTCTGTAAGTTAGAAAGCTGATTGGCCCATTAGGTCAGGATTCTTACTGGCTAACTCTCACATCTTGATTAACCCATTTTTCTGATCTATGTTAGCCATGTGACTCAGTACCTTTTTCAGTGGGGTAGCTCACATCCTGCTGCTTCGGTTGTCTGGGCAGGAGTGGGAGGAATCAACTTCCTCCTCCCCAGAATTCTCCTGCTCCCCTTGCATCATTTCCACTTCCTGTCTGGTTTTCCCACCTACACCTCCTGCCTGGCCAATCAGCGTTTATTTAAAACATGATTGACAGAATACAGACAATTCTCCTGCACCAGCATCCAGCTTGTTCTGCCTAGAGATGGGGTCTGGGCCACTCCCATAGGCATTCCTATAGACAGGTCAGCCTCAGAATAAAGACACCCCCTGAAGCTTTCCTATACCCCTTTTCTATCTCTAAAGCCTTCCACCCTCCTGCCCCTTGGGAACAAAATGGCTCAATTGACTCCCATCCATCCTCTCAAACTCAGAGCCAAGCAAAATGATTAAGATATCAAATATGAAGTAGCAGTGCCTGAAGACTTCCACCTGGGAACCTGCTGGGAGGACGAAGCTGACAGCTATTGACAGCCCATCAATCCCTGGGGGTGCTGTCCTGGCCCAGCCTGCTTGGGAGTTCTCTTAAAGGAGATCGATTCTCCAAGCCCCACCTGTACCCCTGCCCCACAGGGTATGGGCTGGAAGAGGCTAGCAGTGGTGGCCAGCTAAGTCCTGCAGACCAGCATCTTAGGTCTCTCTGGGACTTTGCAGCCTTCTCTTTATCCAGACACTATGACCACTCAGAGTGACAACCGTGCTCTTATTTCAGAGTACAGAGAAATGTCTGTGGCTCAGAGAAGTTAGATGGTTTGCCCAAAGTCACACAGCTAGGATTAACTTCTCAGTCATTGACAGATATGGGAATAAGTTTTCTTTTTTTTTAATTGAAAAAATTCTTTATTGGGGGTTGTCAGGATGGCTCAGTGGATACTACCCTGGAACTCTGAAAAGATGGGAATAGAGAATCAGCTCTATAAAACTGTCTTCCATACATGCATCGTTGCATCTATGCATGTGCGCACACACACTAATAACAATGTTTAAAGGAATTCTGTTTTCTATTGCATTTTGTATATTTATTTTGTGTGTGGAGTGGGGATACATGTATGCCATGCCATGTGTATGGAGGGGTGGGGTGGCATGCATGCCATGCCGTGTGTGTGGAGGAGTGGGGAGGCATGCATGCCATGCCGTGGGGGGTGGGATGGGGAGGCATGCATGCCATGCCGTGTGTGTGGAGGCCAGAGTCTGTTCTCTCTTCTACCGTAAGGGACCCGGGAAGTGAACTTAGGTTGTCAGGCTTTGTAGCAAGTGTCTTCACCCTCCAAGCTATCTTGCTAGGCTATAAATAAAGGGTTTTGGTGTTTTGTTGTTGTTGTTTTAAGTCCTCACTGCACGGAACTGATCACACACCCGTTTCCCCAGAGCACAGTGCCCTCTGTGACTCGTGACCACCTACAAGTTTCTAAGCCTGGGCAGGACCCAAGATTGAGCCCTGGTGTGACCAGTGCTTCAGGGCTACCGGAGACACTGAGGTCCACCAGTTCCTTCTCCTGGTGTCTTGAGGTGCCGACCAGAGCAGCAGGACCTAATGCCAGTAAGGACAGAGCCTGGCGGCAGCTGTAGGCTCAGCAGTCTGACCTGCTCCTTGTTTGTTGTCTGTCCTCTAAGCTTCACAGGATTGGCTCCACAGTCCTCACTTTCAAGATGGGGAAGTGGAGCGAGACTCTAGCCAGGTAGTGTGGCTATGGATCTGGGTCAAGCCCAGCGTGGTCTCACTGGCTTGTGGGGACTGCAAGAGTACAGCCCTGAGAGAGGAGACTGCGTCCCTGTGCCTGGAGAACCTGCTCTGAACACGACTTTCCACACTTAATGTGTCTAGTCCTAACAGCCTAGGACATGGATCATGAGCCCAGAAGTCAGTTGGAGGTTAGCTGTGCTTTCTAGGGAATCAGAAATGGCTCTGCTGTTGGTACAAACAGTCGGAGAAAAGAAAAGGGCTTGACTCAGTGGTAATGAGAACTCGCTGCTCCTGTAGAGGACCTGAGTTCAGGCCCCAGCATCTCCATGTCAGGTAGCTCATAACTGCCTGCAATTCAGCTCCAGGGGCTCTGACACCTTGTTCTGGCCAACTTAAGCACATGGAAGTGCTCAGGCATGCGCGCGTGCACACACATGTGCACTCAAACACACACACACACACACACACACACACACACACACGTACAGAGAGAGAGAGAGAGAGAGAGAGAGAGAGAGAGAAAGCTAAACCTTTCTGGCCTGGCTGGCAGAATCAAGTTTGCTTTTACTAGTAGTAGCTGCCAGTTTTTACTGGTCCTTTCTGTGTGCACATGGTTTCATTCAACCTCCTGACACCTTGAAGAAAGTCATGACTGTCACTCTGAGTTAGAAAGGAAGCTGCTCTTCCCTTCAGAGATGTGACAGAGCTAGGACCAAGTACAGTTCATGGGGATCTTATCTCTCTCTCTCTCTCTCTCTCTCTCTCTCTCTCTCTCTCTGTGTGTGTGTGTGTGTGTGTGTGTGTGTGTGTGCACGCACAGATGTATATACATGTGTGTATGTGGAGGCCAGATGTAAACCATAGGTATTGTTCCTAAGGTGGCTTCTTCACCTTGATTTTTAGAAGTAATACTCTCAGTCACTGGGAGTGCATTGGCTAAGCGAGGTTGGCTGGTCAGTAAGCCCCAGGGATCCTGTTCTCACTGTTCTTCCACTGACCTTTCCATGTAGTGTCTGTGGCCTGAACTGGGGTTTTCAACAACAGAAGAATTTGCCCCAATCCAAGGCATCCAGTAATTTTTAGGTACCAGAGAACCATGTGAAGTGGGTGCTAGTCAGATCTAGGGCTCGAAATGGAGTTCCTCTACTATCTGTAAGTTCTTACACACCCTATCATGCCGTCCTTATGAAAGCTACCCAGTAATTCTTGAAGCAAGTCCAGAATTCTGTGTTCCTCCTACATTCCTGCCCATCAGTTGGGAAGCTCTACCAGCTAAACAACCATCCCCAACTCTATACTTGGATATTTCACCTTGGGACCTGGATGTTAAAATGACATAGCTCCTAAGTCACTTGCTAAGGGTCTGTGACTCACAAGTGGCCACCAAAGTTCCTTATCAGAAATTCCAACCGAGACCACTGCTTATATTCAACCCCGCCCCAACACCCTCTAACTTTCCCTGCTCAGGTAGGAGCGTCACAAGCCAGTCAGGCCTGGCCTGGGGAGGAGGAAGGCAAAATTTAGAGTCTAGCTTTCAGCTGAGAGCACACAACCAGGGAGATTGCTCAGCAGCTAAGAGTGCATACTGCTTGTGTAGAGGATCTGAGTTCAAGTCCCAGCTCCCACACTGGGTGGCTCACAGCAGATTGTAACTCCAGGGGACCCAATGCCCTCTTCTGAATTTCACAGGCAACTACATTCATACATATATAGTAACACACACACACACACACTTAAAAAATTGTTATTGATTTTTTAAACTGCATGTCATGACCACCTTATGGGACCATTTAACATGTAACTGCCATAACTGTAACGAACATTTCAGCAACACCTGCATATTTCTGAGAACACAATAGCCCCAAATTACTACAAAGTCAAATTTACAATACATCCAATGTGCTTCTGGCAGCATTCACCCATGCTGCATCCCTTGACACTGTAGCCTTGATTCTGAGCCTGCAGTGTGTACATCACACTGTCTGCATCCCGTGACACCAAAGCCTTGATTCTGAGCCTGCAGTGTGTACACATCGCACTGTCTCTGTTGTCACGCCAAGCACAGCCAACAAACTCTGCCTGGAACACCTCAGACCAGGCTATTGCATATTTTAGTGTTTTTACTACACATACAGAGATTTCTGCTCTA